TGGCCTCTAAGGAGCACTCTGGCTGCACTTCTTCCAAAACGAATCTATTGGTTCTTTTGGCACCCCATGGCACTTTTAGTATTCTCCTCCAACACCATAATTCAAAGGCATCAATTCTTCTACAATCTTCCTTATTCATTGTCCAGCTTTCGCAGCCATATGAGGTTATTGAAAATACCATGGTTTGGGTCAGGTGCACCTTAGTCCTCAAGCTGACATCTTTGCTCTTCAACATATTTGCCAAATGCAGCAGATTTGCCAAATGCAATAAGTCATCTGATCTCTTGACTGCTGCTTCCATAAGTGTTGATAGTTGATCCAAGAAGAATAAAGTCCTTGATAACATCAATCTTTTCTCCAATGGATGTGGTTTATTGGTCCAGTACACAGCACCACATACTGTATTAATACTCTCTCCCATGTTACCTGAAGTAGCAGTCACTGACTGAATGAGTAAAGAAACCAAACAAGGAATGAACAAAAATGAGTCTCCATAGATCTACCTGGTCACCAAGACAAGAACATGAATTCCTAAATGAAGTTTCTGCACCCTGATGAATATGGAAAGCAATTCAGAAGCGTGCATGAAGAAAACATTAGCATCTCTATTTCTATCAAAATTTTAAAATCTGAAAACCCTAGGCTTTCCTAATACTGGCTTCCTTAGCAAAAAGGAGATTCCGTGATTTGTGGGGTTATTATATATTTCCCGTGGAAGAAAGATGAGGCTTTCTGCTCCCCTCAAAATTTACAGCCTTGGAAATCCTATTCAGGGTCACTATGAGTCAAGACCAACCCCACCATATAGATTTGATTTCTATATACTGGACCAAACTGTCATTTACAAGGAACCAAAGAACAAAGAAGCTGCATGGATTCTATTTTTGATTTTGTCTAAATGAACCCTCACAAAATGGACAAGTGGCTTCAAAAGGTCTTGAACTGGATGGACGTTTACTAATCATAACAACACAAACACAAAGGAAAAGGAAAACAGCAGCTCTGACAACCCACTTCACACTTGTAACTTCTCCATAGCTGCATTAAACAAGCAGTGGCTAATCAGATCTGACATGAAATTCTTAACACCCTCTGAAATTATCAATACTTTTTGAAATAAATTCATAACCACTGTTGTTATCAATGACCTCAGCCCAAGAGAACATTATATCTTGAAAAATTAGCTGATAGTATTTTTATACAATTTATAAATAAACATATTCTTACTAATAAGATTAAAAGTGCAGTTGTGTTCAGCAGCATTATCGTCATGTCCAAGTTGGTTAGATATTCATCCCTAGACCTATTGAGTCAGAATCTGAATTTTAACAAAATCCTCAGGTGAGTTATATGCACACTTTGCAAAGTCCTACTTTAGAATACATTCTTAAATAACTTGAACCCTTGAATCCTAACACTTTATGTCTTATTTATATTTTATGCTGCTCTTCAGAAACAACGTATTCCATGCATTAGGCAAATCTGCTGCACAAGACCTTTTTAAAGCATTGAAGAGCAAAGATGTCAGCTTAAGGACTAAGGTGCACCTGACCCAAGCCATGGTATTTCCAATAACCTCACATGCATGAGAAAGTTAGTGAATAAGAAGACCATAGAAGAATTGATGCTTTTGAGTTATAGTGTTGGAGGAGAATATTGAAAGTGCCATGGGCTGCCAAAAGAACAAACAGATCTGTGTTTGAAGAAGTGCAGCCAGAGTGCTCCTTGGAGGCCAGGGTGGTCAGACTTCGTCTCTCATACTTCTGACATATTGTCATGAGGGACCAGTCCCTGGAGAAGGATATCATGTTTGGTAAGGTGAAGGGTTGGAGAAAAAGAGGAAGATACTCAGCGAGATGGATTGGCAAAGTGGCAGCATCAATGGGCTCAAGGACCGGGCAGTGTTTTGTTCTGTTATGTATAGGGTTGCTATGAGTCAGTACCGACTGGATGGCACCTAACAACAACAACAACCTCGGAAACCCTATGTACGGTGGCTATGAGTTGGAAGAATTGAGGGTACTTAACAATAACAACATACTTTATATAGATCTCTTTGTTGAATCTTTGACCTCATAATCTGATCAATTCTCATTTCTGTTCTTAAATGTTCTTCAAAACTCTAATGAAACTACTTAAACCAAAAAATCCAATGATGTCATCTTGTATCAATAAAGCACTATCTCTTTTATTAATTCCGGTATACTTAAAATAATTTTTCTGACCTCAATAAATAAAGGGGAGTGCAGTGGCAGTGTAGGATAAGCACTGGACTGTGAACCACAAGGTCAGCAGTTCGAGCCCACCAGCTGCTCCATAGGAGAAAGATGAGCCTTTCTGTTCCAGCAAAGATTGACATCCTCAGAAACCGCATACAGGGCCACTATGAGTCAGCAATGACTCCACTCAGTGACACCTAACAACAATATACACTAAAACCACAAATCCATGGAAATAAACTCATATAAATATAAATAAATTCATATAAAAAAACTTTATACCTTCTAACATACTTAAGGAGTCCTGGTGTAGCACTGTGGGTTAATGCTCTGGAATGCAAGGTCGATTTGAACCATGGTTCCAGTTCACCAGCTGCTCCTTGAAAACCCTATACTGGGTCGCTATGAGTTGGAACCAATTCGACAGCACTTTACAACAACAGCGTACTTAAAATGTTTCTGACTCATGTACAATTGAAACTTCCGCCTCACTCCAGATCCAGTGACGTCACAGTGATGTCACCCAGTATGCTGCAGCATGTTTGGTAATGTCTATTATCAGGACCTCTGGTAGCATAGTGGTTGCGAATTGGGCTGCAAACCACAAGGTCAACAGTTCAAAACTACCAGTTTTTCTGCGGGAGAAAGATGAGGCTTTCTGCTCCCGTAAAGATTTACAGCCTCGGAAACCTCAGTTCCAACCCATAGTGACCCTAAGTAGGGTTTCCGAGGAGCAGCTGGCCTTAGGGTTTGCATCCAGTGCTGGTCCTACAGCGCCACATCAGGATTGTAGAATAATATGCAATAAATATAGTTGCAAATTGCTTAAATGTAATATTTCTTTGATTATATGAATACACTAAAACTATTTCATATTTTCTCCATTAAATTACAGTGCTTATTAGAGCTGAACAGAACCGTATTTGTTATTTCTCTTTGTTTTCCTTTAATTACTATTATTTAATTTTCACAGAAGTTATCGGCATAGTTTCATAAATATTAATTACCACGATATTGTGGCTGAAACACCAGAAAATTTAACAAAATTAGCAACTATGGAAGCACTGAACACCTTAGAAAGTTTAAAACGTGAACTAGCAGTGAGTTTTAACCATGTAGGTCATTGATACATGTAGGATGGACCACTTGTTGCTGTTGTTGGTAAGTGCTGGTGAGTCAGTTCCAACACAGCGACCCTGTATAGAGTTTCTGAGGAGCGGCTGGTGAGCTTGAACCACCGACCTTGCAGTTCAAACCAACCCTGTGGTCGAGTACTTAACTGTTTTAGCTAACTATAAGCATATTTTTTTCCCTTTTTTAAAAAATGTTTTACTGTGAATTATGTGATAGTTTACATGGAGAACATAAGCTTTACATTCATCCTATCGTATATCGTTTCATTGCCATGGTTACAATCCCCGCCATACAAACATATTTTTTATAAAAATAATCAATTTCTGCTGAAACACAGCACACAAATTTTATTGGCAGTTGTTTTGGTGCATCCCTTTCTGACAGTATCTTAACATCCCGCCCTACACACAACCCTTCAACACACCCCTGGTGAGCCCAGTATTATATCCAGTTCAACTTACTTTTGTCTGATCATCAGCTTTAAACACATAGCAGATACTCTGTTGGCTGTCAGCATCTTCCTTAATCAGACAAGCAAAGTAACTTGGGTCGTAACTGTTGTGAATCAGTTTGTGAACATGCTGAGGCTTACACTCAAATATGCTGGGACAGATCAGTGGATCCCATTGTTGGTTTTTTCCTGGCTCCTGTTCACATTTCAGGCCAGAGGGTGAAACACAAAGGCGGACTTGCTTGGTAACAGGCTCCTTTCTGGATGTGCTGAGTCTCCGTACCTCTGCCACGACCCAAGGCAGCATGGGCATGGTGGTCAGAGAATGTACAGGCAAGGAGCCCACCAGCTGGAGGCCGAAGTCCACGGACACCTCATTAGGGAGCGGATGCTTCCTTGCTGTGAATGTTATTGGTTCCATCTTGGAAAAGGTCTGGACACTCAGTAAAACGTTGCCACAGTTTTTCTATTACAGACTGACCAAGAAATCTATTTTATACACTTTCGATGCAGAGTCCTAAGGGAGAAAAAAAGCAGCATTAGAATTTAATGAAGTCATATAGCCATAGCTATTTTTCAAAGAGAGATTATTTCAGAAAGAACTTAAAACTCTAAAAATCTAAATGCAGGAAGAATTGAATATCAGTTCAAACTAGCTGTCCCCTGTAGAAAGAACCTTCTTGAAATTGTAGTACATATAAACCTGGAAATAGCAGAACTGTCACACTCAGTCCAAGTTACAGAAATCCCACTGGAAAATTAATATTAAACATAAACCTTATAGAAGTCAATGGAGGCAAGCACCGTCAAAAACAACAGAGTACCATCCTGTCA